TCCTCTTTCTCTTTCCCTTCTTCCTCTTTCTCTTTCCCTTCTTCCTCTTTCTCTTTCCCTTCTTCCTCTTTCTCTTTCCTTTCTTCCTCTTTCTCTTTCCCTTCTTCCTCTTTCTCTTTCCTTTCTTCTTCTCTCTCCTTCCCTTCTTCCTCTTTCTCTTTCCCTTCTTTCTCTTTAAATTCTCTTCTTCCTCTCCCTCTTTCTCTTTCCCTTCTTCCTCTCTCTCTATTTTTTTTTTGCTCTTCTACTTCTTACATACTGACTTTATATTTGTATTTGACCCAATGTGTGGGGGATTTTTCAGCGGCACTGCTGTCTACCAAACAGGTATATCTGTAGATGCCACCTGCAAGCAAGGGGTTAAGAGATCTGCATACTATATTTAGCCACTCAGCTAAGGATGTAGAGGATGCTGGGTTGTCAATATTCCCTGTCATTTGGGATTATTTACAATTGAATGGTTGAAGAAACATTACTTGTGTAAAAATAGAAAGAGCCACCACTTCCAATTTTGCATTAATCATGAGCCACTCTCTCCAGACCTTGAATGTTTATTTTCCCCTCTTTGTTTTTTGTTTATTTTCATTAATCCCTCTTTGTCTCTCCGAGTTTTTCTCTTACATTCATGGATCTTCTACGTCCATTTTCAGCGAGCCTCTCCCCTTTAATAATCCATATGTTAACAAATAAAAAATAAAGAAGTTCAAATCAAAACAGAGCCATCAGAGTCCAAGTAAAAACAAATTAGTACATTTTGACCACAGATAACACCACAGATAACATCACAGTGATAATGAAAAATAATTATATATTTATACTGAGCTCTTTTTACCTATAAGGAGAAGGGTATGATAATGAAGAAACTATCCTATTCTTCTCAACCTTATAAAACTAACTCTTATCAAAGTCTTCTTTCAACTGTCAGTCAAAATTCTGAAGCAAAAAGAAAATGAATTAATTCTGAATTCACACCTAAAAATGATCATATTTATAATGATCCCTGGATATCTAACGAAGATGGCAACTCATTTTTTTTTCAATTCTAAATACTTATTTCATATTTATCTATAAACAATAAGATAAAATAAGGGATATCTAGCTTCCCCTTTAGTCTATTCGTTATATGAATTAAGATAAGTAATTATCAAATATCTAAAATAAGGAAAAGTAAAAAATGTGGTGAGTTGCCAATTAGGGTTAAATATTTCTAAAATGCTAAATTCTGCCTCCTACTCTCCCCCACTGAGAAAAGGTCTAAAAATAAATGCTAAAATTCCACTGCTAACCAATACCTTTCAGAATGGCCTATATCTTAATCCTGAAGAAAAATACTTAAAAACCTAAGAGAGAATGATAAATGTGGAGAAAGATTTGATAAGAACACAAGATAAATTCAAGAAGAGATTTGCTTTCAGTAGTAAAATAACAGTTCACTGGGTATGATGAAAAAAGAAAAATAATCAAAATAAAATAAAAAACAATAAAAAACACACACAACATGAAGAAAAATTGAATGGTTTATAACAAGGGAATGAAATAAGAGAAGAAAGTCATTTATAAATAGATTATAGAAAGCAGACAAATATTTGAGAAAAAAAAATATTTACAAAACACCCTATTTTTTCATAAAACACCCTACAACAGTTTTTTCAGCATAGTTTACTGTATGACACTTTAATATAGTACAAGGAATCAATAAAATCATGAAATCTAAGCCACATTTCATTTCAAACATTTCTGCACATTTTGAAGATAAAAATTAATTTAGGAATATAAAAGTCGGGGCACCTATCTCAACCATCATTTCTCAAGCTCAACACTGAGAAGCTCAATGAGGTTAATACTAGCGACACCAGATTTATTACACACAATCACACACATATACCTGGTATAACAACTTACAAAAAAGAAAAGAAAAGAAAAAAAAAGTATAAACATGGACCTGCTCATCAAGACACAAAGTTAAGCACACAGACTCACAATCATGTACAGTAAGTCCCCAACTTAAGAACATAATGGGGACCGAGAGGCTGTTTGTAAGTTGATTTGTTTGTATGTTGGGTCTCCATTACCTTTTTTCCCATTGTTTTAAAGTTTTGTTTACATTAAGAATACCTGTAAATAAGTCCCAATAAGTACAACACACCTTATACAGTACCAGACTCTAGAACTATATTCGCGCCCGAGAAATTTGAAGTTTGCTAGCATCTTTCAAACAATTTTTTGGACTTTAGTATTTAAAAAATTTCGTTTGTATGTATGGAATGTTCATAAGTAGGGGACTATCTGTACAAGATCAGAAACAACCTTATTGACATTAACAATATCTACAAGCAGCACATTCACATTACACACAAAACTCACACAAAAGTAAATTTCTTACATACCACACCAACACTGACACTCACAAGCACTCCTCCTTCCCACATACCATATGCAACTGGAACAGGCTACCCCAACTCGTCATCAAATCAAGTACACTCAAAACCTTCATTGACAGACATAACAAGCAAACAACATTACTAGCATCTTTACAACCTCCAACTCTATCCCCACCCCTAACAACGAACCACATATGCGTGTTATGTGCTTGCCAGCGCCCTGTGTATTATCTTTGCGATCGAGATTGAGAGAAACAATTGACAAATGAATTTTCATTCCAACTGATTTGCACTTGTTTAGAAAAGAGCCATCTATCAGAAAGAAAACATTCCTGGACATTCAATTCCTCAATACAAAATAATCAAAGAAAACTACCCTAAACTGACATGCTAATCATAAAAAAGAACAGTTTCATGTTGCTTCTTGTTCAGAGCATGGTGGTATTCAAACAATCAAGGCAGCTAACAGCAAGTTCTTCTATCATAAAGGACATGTACACAATTATAATATTAGTTCCAGTACAGAATAAACATTGTCAATACACTCAGGACTTTATCATGAAATATGGGACCAGTCTCAGCACTATCCTGCCAAATTATACAGGAAGGATGTCTTTGGAGCATAACATTATACGAAAGGGAGGTGCAGAAGCAACTGCAAAAGCTGTGCACATTGTAGGCCTTACAGGTGAATATAAAATCACATACTTTGCAATTTTAATTCACATTATGCACAGATCACAGGCACCTATGTAATATGTCTCTCTATCTTTAGCCGAGGCCATACAAATATTTTTTTCAACAACCAATTTGTGATATTAATCAACCTTCAAAGTTGCCCCTAACCTATGCTCTGTCAATTTCCTAACTAGCTTGTCACACAGGCAAACAGAGCTACCAACTTAACACACTCAAATCCACTCAAAAAAATTGCAGTGAGGTCTTTAATCTTTGCAATTATGGACTGTACTCTCTTGCCATGCCCCATTTGCCAATTCTGAATGAGCCATACCATTTTGCTCAACCTCCAACAAAGTTGTTATAAGAAGATTATGTTGACTGAGAAACTGGCTCATTTCTTGTCAAAAAAAAAAGAAAAAAAAAAGAAAATGCTTGTGTGACTGTGGCTTTAACTACCTCAGAAGGTAAAAGTCTGCTATGCGAAAAAAAAAATCCTATTAATTCTAATCACATCAACCTAATCGAGGAATTCAGAATCTCGTCAGTGAAAGCCGCATTAACAAAACAAGAAAAAAAAAAAAAAATTACCCTTCTTCTAGTACTTGCAGTGGGTTTTCTTTAACCTAAACCAAAATAATGACTAAGATCTGTGAATGATGGCCTACAATCCCTATTAAATTTGAGACGACAGAGGAGACCTGTCAAGCAACTGCCACACGTCAGCACTACGCACTCTCGACCTTGGACCAAATCCTCATTAGGCAATATATCATCCAAGAGTTCAACGCCTTCCACCTTGTCGCAATAGACACGGTGACAGTTTGCTGGCATTCGCTCGTCCACCAGCATGTGCGAGGCCAATGACAGATTAACGAGTATCTTCAATTAATTTCTGAAGTAAGGAAGAGAAAATATCCCCAAAAATATTCTCCGCAGAAACATAATAAGTGGAGTGCGAGAAGACCCGTGCAATAAGCAGCAACGAGAAAAAGGATCACAGATTGAAATGAGATGTGAAGAGATAGAGAGAAAGAATATATAGCAGAGAGAAAATCATTTATGTGATACACAGCGAGAAAGAAAAAAATTGAACGCTACAGGACACGAGGGAGAATCAGCCTCAGTGAAAACAATCACAGAGAAGAGAAAAAAAATTTACCCTTCTTCTAGTACTTGCAGTGGGTTTTCTTTAACCTAAACCAAAATAATGACTAAGATCTGTGAATGATGGCCTACAATCCCTATTAAATTTGAGACGACAGAGGAGACCTGTCAAGCAACTGCCACACGTCAGCACTACGCACTCTCGACCTTGGACCAAATCCTCATTAGGCAATATATCATCCAAGAGTTCAACGCCTTCCACCTTGTCGCAATAGACACGGTGACAGTAAAATATCCCCCAAAAATATTCTCCGCAGAAACATAATAAGTGGAGTGCGAGAAGACCCGTGCAATAAGCAGCAACGAGAAAAAGGATCACTGATTGAAATGAGATGTGAAGAGATAGAGAGAAAGAATATATAGCAGAGAGAAAATCATTTATGTGATACACAGCGAGAAAGAAAAAAATTGAACGCTACAGGACACGAGGGAGAATCAGCCTCAGTGAAAACAATCACAGAGAAGAGAAGAGAAGAGAAGAGATAAAAAGAAAACTGAGAGCAGAGACAGAAAAAAAAAAAATCTCAAAGACAAATAGCCAGAGAACCCTATCCATGACTAAGTAAGGAATTGCGAAAGGAAAGCAACAAGAAGTAGAACGGAGAGAGGAGAGGAGGAGAGAGGAGGAGAGAGGAGAGAGGAGGAGAGAGGAGGATAGAGGAGGATAGAGGAGAGAGGAGAGAAGAGGAGAGAAGAGGAGAGAAGAGGAGAGAAGAGGAGAGAGGAGGAGAGAGGAGGCGAGCGAGCGCTGGACCCCGAGCCCCGAACCCGCACCTTGTAAACATCGCCGTAGGTCCCGCTGCCGATGCGCTGGATGAGCTCGTACTCGTCCTGCGGGTTCCGGCGGCTGATATCCGACGCGAGGGCCGCCGCCGCCGCCGCCGCCCCGCCGCCGCCGCCCGCCATCACGCCCCGCCGCCGCCGCCGCCGCTCCCACCACGCCCGGAAAGCTTAGCGAAAGTCCTCGAGGCTCAAGAAGGCTCTGTGGCCCTCGTCCTTGCGCTGTTCCCGTGTTCAATTGACTGTTCCGCTGTTCAGGAACGGGATGGCTGGACGGAACGAGCGGGACGGCGGAACGGAACGCTGGACGGGGGGAACGGAACGGGTGGCGTTCGAAGTTGAAGGAATTGGGGGGTCCTAAGGGGGCTGTTTCTTTAAAATTGGCTCATGCACTGGTGTGATTTTGTTGTACTGATTTGTACATTTTTAAAATCTCTTTTGGTTCATTTACTTTTCTTCTAAATCTGTATCGGTTGTGGACACAAAAACATAAAGATCCTTCACATCCTTATCAGTGCCAATATCTCACAAATTCTAGTGAAAATGATTACACCGCCTTAAAATAAAAAAACGTCAAGATATAAGCCTATATAATACACGCACGTAATTACAATATGGCATCTAAAATCCACCCGATCTCGAACGCAAGGCCTTAAGTCTCACCATCAAATCGCTTCCCGTTTTTTCCTTATTTCGTGTAAAAATGGCAAATATCCGCCGTCTCGTTATCTTCGGAGCTACGGGGAACACAGGTCTTTGTTGTACCGAGGCTGCCGTCCAGTTGGGTAAGTGAATTAGAACCAAATATCCAACAAAATAAAAGAAATAAGAAATTTAATGATAATTTCCCGGCAGCCACATCGTCTGTCGTGTTTGGTTGTTTTCGTTGTTTCTCTTCGTCGTCGGGGGGGAAGGTGTGCTTATCTTTCGCCGGCTTTTATTCCGGACATTTTCGAGGACATTTCGAGAGCAAGTAAGGGCTCGGCAGAAAGGAGACTGAATGGGGATAAACGCGAGAGAAGAAGAAGGGGAGAGAGAGAGAGAGAGAGAGAGAGATTAAAAAAGGAAGTGGAGGGCGAGACTTAATTAACCTTTAATTCTTTTTCTCTGCTTGTTTTTTAGTCGCTAATTAACACCGGATTCCTTTCCATTTGCTGAGGTTGATTACTCATCTAACGTGGATTTTTTTTAAGAATCAAATTAATCTCTTTCTCAACTTGGTCACTACATGTTCTCAGGATCAGTCTTTTCTTTTCTGCTAAAATTATATTAATAGATGAGACACTTATCTACTAAGGGTCCATAAAGAATACATAGAATAATAAATTAAATACAAGAAAGTAAATAAGTAAAGGTCTTTGTTATCATGCACAAAGCGAGGGCAAATTGGAAGATGATATTCTTGCAGAGGACAAAACATTGCAGTCGTCCTTATAAGAAATGATTTGCAGACGTGAATGGTAATGCCACAAGTAAAGTACAAAGATCGTGGTGCTCCCAAGTCTCGGCTCTATCTTGCTGTACGTAGCAGGGCGAATACAGTGTTTGCCGGGGGATGTCTGTCCCACAACAACCCTCCCGTCGGGCGGGGATTCCCAGTCACAGCAATTTCAGTTATTGAAATATATTTGTAATGTGGAATTAGGGACATAGCCTCTGGTGAATGCGTCCGTATTGTAAAGAATTACCAATATAAAATTACAAAACATTAAGTTTATATATTAAAATATATATATATTCTGCAGTGATATCCTTTCAAAATTATAAATTTCCAAATTATGGAAAAAAACATAAAGAAACTAAATGACGTGTAGCAAATAGTCACCTTCAATTTTCAAATTCCTGGGCTATGGATGCACAAATCTATATTTGCAAAGCAACGGCTCACAAACCTCGGTGTATATTCTTGTAAGATAGGGCTTGTTTACCTCCCTTGATCTAATCCAAAACCTCTCTTGCCAAATATACAGGGAAGAAGGTTGTTGTGTTAATTTTTATGGTATGGACACACTAACATAGGACAAATTGAAGATATTCTTTTAGAGGACTAAAAGTCTCTCGTGACTGCATCTGTTCTATAAAAAATTACCGTTCCTTGGCCTTTGGCAGAGCCTTTCACTATGTCTGATACTTAGCAATTACCTAGATAATCTTTAGGTAATTAATTCTTAACTCATTCCCGACGGGCATGGCATGTACGTATATGCCATGCCCATTGAGTTTACTTGTTTGATTATTTCTAACCATATATGGCTATACTTGTACTAAATCACCAATGAGCCAATTACGAGTACTGCCTGCCTCGCTCGGTCACCCTTCTCTTTAATTTACAAAAAATATTTTACGTTATCTTTTTTTGCTATCACTAATGTTTATAACATTCTAGTAATTATAATGTTTATAATAACAATAACACCATCAATATTCATAGTACTAGTAAAAAATACATTTTCCCACCAATTCTAGGAAAGGTGAAATCAGGTAAGGCAGAGTCATACATGTGTAAACATTTAATGGAAAAAGAATTTAAAATGAGCACAGAATTTTCCCCATTTTTTATTCATTTTCCCCGGCAGCAATGGGATTCACTTACCAGAGACTGTCCCAAGTTCCACTTCACAAAAGTTTATTAAGAAATCTAAGTTGCCATGACTGGATGTAAAGAAAAAGTTGACCAGCACCTCCCAGCAAAAAATGCACAGCAAGATCAATCTGAAACTTGGGAGGACTGAGTGGACTTGGGCTGGAAGCTGCACCTTGTGTGATCTTCTTCCTTTATTTGTGGCGCTACTGTTTTATTTCTTGCACCAACGACTCCAACTTTTTGTCCTTTACTAGAAAATCACCTTCAATTTGCCCTAGCTTGGTGCATCCATGCTGTAAAGATTAACCATTCTTTATACTGGGGAAAGTAACAATTATTGGAGATGATTACTTCCAAATTATTCTTTTATTGTGTTCATGATGTAGTTATGAAGCATATTCATATTTTTATTAATGGGTTTTGTGAAATGTTGTTTTCAAAAATATATTTGTTCACACATTATAGCATAAAAAGTTAAACCAAAGTCATGTTTTATCCAAAATTCCAATATTCATTCCAGAGTAAGCTCCTTTGACACAAGTACAGATACAATTCCAAGCCATTTAGGGGGTTGGAAATTGTATATTTTGTTTTTAGTGAACAATTATTAAACTGTATTTTTTTTTATTAACAAGAATGAATGAGTAAAGATGAGTTTTATCCTATGAGTCACATGCTGGATTTTTATTTTATTTATTTAT